CCACCCGCTCCCCCACCCCATGCTGAGTAATTCTTCTCAATTCCCTTTGTGGACCTTCTTTCTCTGTATACAAGTCAGATGTTGGCCTTCTCCCACGGTCTCTCCCGTCCAACTCCCTGGGGTGACCTGACCCACTGCCATGATCTCCCCAATATTTCACTTACCAAAGGCCTCCAAGTTTGTATTTCTACTTAAGATTTTAATGCTGGGGTCCTGATCTATATATGCATCTCTCTAAAAGAAATTATGGGGCTATGGTATTCATAAATGGAAAATTGGACTCATTATCTTGTTTCTCAAATCTGTTTTAGCACTAACTTCCATTCTGCTAGTACAGCATTCAGTCTAGTCACCAATCACAAACCTGGGAGCCATTCTGTCCTTTTACCACTTTTTCACCTACCATGTCCAATACACTATAAACCTAATCTGTTTTGTCACCGAAGTAGTCCCCAAATTCACCCAGTCCCATCCCTTATTCTAATGCCCTAAAATAGCTCTTTATCATTCTTGTCTGAACAATTGCAATAACTTCCAATTTCTTTTTTTTTTTTTTTTTTTTTTTTTTTTTTGGTGCTTTAACTAAGCCTATATACCATTTCTTAGTGATTTTTCTGAAATACACATCCGATCACATCTTCTGGTTAAATCCTGTGAGTAACCCCCAATATCACTTACAGAATAAAGTCCATGAGTTCCCAAAACCACATAGAGGATCAGGACAAAGCTCTGTATGTATCAAGGTGTACAAGATCAAGCCTCTGGCTTCCCTGCTGGAATGAGCACATCTTCACACATCCAAATTCCATCTCCTTGATGCTTCCAGGAGTCATGCTGCCCATCACCCTGTTATCTCTCTTTTCCTTTGCTATTTCTTCTGCCCCTACCTCCTTCATCTACTGTCCATCCGGCTAATTTCAAGACTCAGCCAGGTAACCACATCTATAATATACATTTCCCTGACCCTTGCCACTCCCTCTGGCAGAGTTAGGCACTTCATGCCTTGAACATACTTGTACAACTGACCAAATCGAACTCTATTACAACACCTGCCACAGGGCTATGATTATTTTTTTCCTGTGCCATTCCCTAGGGGCTAGCACATGGTAGGAAATTAAGCAACATGCTTTTCATAAACACACATCCATTTTACAAGCCTCACATAGCTCTTCACCTAACAGTTCTCTGAAGCAGGCAAACTGCAAAATTAACCTTTCACCTGAATAAAAGCTACAAAGAATTCTACAGAAACGCTGATTTCCTGCGGCTAGAATAGGAAACTAGTTCCTCATTGTTATGCCAAATAACTTGTGTTCCCTTTCATGATCTTTAGTAATCTTTACAATTTTCATCATATTTTCATTTTCGATTACATGTCAAGCTCAGTTGCTGTAACACTACAACTGTGAACACCACTATTCTGCTTTGCAAGATTAAAAATGGACACATTTTGCTTTACGTGAAGTCAATTTCATTCGGACTCCTTGGCATTAAAAAAAAAAAAAAAACCACCTGTTTTGCATGCACAAAATGTCGCGGTTCAACTTTTACTATACCACCCACTTTCTCTCTTTCTAATATATACCTTAAGCTTTACTGAGTATGCACTGATTAACAATTCTTTTAGAGAAGAGCGTGAGCTCCTACATTTTTCAATTCGATGAGTAATGGATCTTTGGGACTGGGCACATAAAATAAGCTTCAAGACAGATTTGGCAAGAGAGAAAATCTGCAGGACCGGTTGCCGAGCTGCGTTGTGCGATGTACCCGGCTCTTCTCTAGGGTTGGAGGAGGGGGAAGTCCTTTGGTTTGGCCTATCACTTACCTGACTGGGTGTCTGTATTGGGAAAGTTTTCCAAAAGCTTCAGTCATTCCGGGGCCATTGGGCATCTAGGGACGTAAGGAGAGGAATCACAGTTATCACTCACCTTCTAGAAACTGGAAACGAACGTGACCGAGTCTTCCTCGCGCCCGCAGAGAAAGGTGACCCCAGAGCTCTCAGCAGCCTCGTTCTCAGTACGATCCGTGCGTCGGAGTTGCTCTGGAGGACACACGCGCCGTATCAACACCGACAGGGCCACCGGCAGGCGAGATCTTAAGCGAGGGGCAGGCCGGGCGCGTGGCCTCCTTTGAGCCAGGTGATCTCAGCCTTGGTGGATCAACTGCACCCCTCCGAGGCGCTGCCCGCCACGCGCCGCTCACTCACCGCCTCGGCTGCATGATGCGGGGCCTCTTCCTCCTCCTCCTCTTCCTCCTCCTCCTCCTCCTCCTGTTCGCCTCGGGCGTCAACCCACGGTCTCCAGAAGCCTCCGGATCTGCGGGGTAGGGAGCAAAGGCGTGCAGAGGAGACGTAAGCCCAAACCCGTCAGAACCGATCGCAGCCAGGCGAAGTCTCGGGGATTGTGGGGGGCGGAGTGCGGAGGGGAGGAGCTGGGTAAGCGCGGTAGGGTAGGATAAGGTGGGGAGGCGCAGGGCCACGGCGAAGCTCGATACCCGGAGTCCGCGTCCGCGCTCGGGAACTGGCCTCCGGCGGCAGCGGGCAGGAGGCGGTGGCAGTGCGCACACTCGCGGTCTCCGCTCTCGGAGCGCACTGCGGTCTCCATGGTGCAGCGAGGCGCGGCGGACCGCGGTTGCCAGCTCTCCCGCAAATCTTGCCCCTTCCACCCACCAGGCCCGAACCCCGAGCTTATATAGCCCCCGCGGCTTGCTGCATATTGAGAGGTTCGCTTCCTCTCCGCCCCTCTCTGCCTTGCTAGCCGCATAAACAAAAAGGCTGCGCGTGAAGGCGCAGTGGGCTGAACCTGGGTGTGAACGCGTGCAATTCCCAAATGGCCCGGGAAGGAGTTTGTCGAGCGAGTGTTAATCGCTCTTCACACATGGCTGCAGGGAAAAACAACATTCACCCGAGCAGCCAATTTCCAAGTGAAGAGGTTAGGAGGGGATAAAATTAAGCGATTCTACACGTTTTGTGTATTTCTACAAAAAGGCAAAGTGGCTGGTAATTGCTTGACTAGCTTAGTCTCACGGCTTTTTTGGACTTTGGCAAATGAAACTGGTTCTGTACCCCTTACTTTAAAAGCTGGGTTACGAGTAAATTAAAAGGAATAGCCTTAACTCCTTCTCCTTCTGGCACAATACAAGATGGATGAATGAATGAACTAATGAAAGGAATACCGCGGTTTTGCTTTTTTTAATACATGTATTAGTCTAGGTTCATACCTCTGCCTATTATTATTTGAAGATAATAAAAAAGTCACATGAGATGAATTATATAACCTTGACCGTTCCAGTGAAGAGAGCCAGAGACTGGAGTCATATGATTTATTATATTACCTTCTCATACCTTTGTGATTTTCCCCAACATTTTATCAGTGTCCCCTGAAGATAAGTCTTGAGTTTCAGCTATACAATTCTGTCACTACTTGGCATTTTATCACCCAGTGATTATTAAAATTACTTTGCGGAGTTGGGTATGTGTGGAATGATAACGAAATCATAAAAAGTTGTGTTGTGTGACAAGTTAGTCAACCTCTTTGTGCTGTTTCTCCTATTTAAGTTAACCCTCACTCACTACAGAGGTCCACTGACCTTGTTAAAAAAAGCATTATGCTTCAAAGGAACAATGATTTATAAATACCATATTCTTTTCAAAGATGTTTTAAATAAAGGAGCTGACTTCATCTTAAAAGTTGTAGATATAGACCTTGAATGTAAACTATAGTGTCTCTTCTATTCATTCAGTTGCTGCATAGCAAAATAACCCCTTTAATTAATACCTAAGGGCCTATAATGATCTATTTGTCAGGAAGGTGAAATATAGTTTGCTTCAGATAAGCTACAATGCTTAACACATAGTAAGTTCTCAACAACTTTTAAGCTATTTAAAAAATATATAAGCCCTTAACAGATGTTAAGTTATCTGGTCAAATGGCTTATCATTTCAGTTCTGTAAACATCTCTTGAGGTATGTGTAATATGCTAAGTACTATGCTTTCCAGATATAATGGTGAATAAGATATTTCCCCCTATCCACAAGAAGATTATGGTCATTACTATCTATAGCCATCACGATGGCCACATAAGCAAATGTTTGTTGTTGTTGTTGTTTTTAAGTGCCATATTCAATAACAAAAGCACATTTTATGCAGAGAAGTGGCATGAGAGAAGGAATAGGTATGTCTGCTTGGGTCAACCATGAAATCCTTCTTAGAGTAAATGAAATCTAAATTGGGATTTCTAGAAGGATCAGTCAAGAGATAATATAGTTTGTGTGTGTGTGTGTGTGGTGCTGGAGTGGGAAGAGAAGGAACAGTGCTTCTAGAGTGTGTGTGTGTGTGTGTATGTGTGTGTGGTGCTGGAGTGGGAAGAGAAGGAACAGTGCTTCTAGAGTTAGGTATTTCTGGAGCAGAGATGTGGCTGAGAAGATAGAAAAGACTTGGACTATGAAGAGCCTAATATACCATGACAAAGCATTTTGGCTTTATTCTGCAAGCAATGGTAAAAAGTTTTAAGCAGGAGAATGGAATGGTTACATTTTATAAAAATCACTCTGGCAGCCATATGGAAGATGTTTTAGGGAAGGCTGATAGTGGAGGCAAGATCATTTACAAAGTTCAGGCAACAGAATGAAAAGATGTATACTAAGGATATGAGTGAAAGAATATATTTGAGGGATACTTAGGGAGTAGAATCTACAGAACTAACCAAATCATAAAATGTGGGTAGACATGACAGTGGCGTCTAGATATGCTCCCAGGTTTCGAGCCTGGTTAAGTGGGTAGATGGTGATGGCTCAAACAAAGACACAGAAAACAGGGAATGTAGAAGGAAGGACAGGTGAGATTTTTTGTTGTTGTTTTATTCTATTAACAGTGTGAAGGGAAAAATTTAATAACTTTGGTTTGGGATCTTGAATCAGTCAAGTCAGGCTGGGCTATGTGGCAATAATGAATAACTCTAAAATCTCACAGTCTTAAAATAATAGAGGTTTATTTTTCACTTATGCTATATGTCCATTTTTAGTTGGTGGGAGATCTGCTCCACATCATCTTCACATAAGGATACAAGCTGATGGAGCCTCTTTCCTCTGAAATGTTTCCAGTTGTCATAACAAGAGAAAGGGAATAAAATTATGTGTGCCAGTTTTTAAAGGCTTCTACCTAGAAGGTGACACACAGCATTTCCAATGTTTCATTGGCTAAAATGAGTAACATGACACACCTAATTTCAAAGGAGCAAGGAAGTACAATTCTACCATATATCCAGAAAGAAGAGAAACAGAAATAAACAGCAGATACAAGTACCATAACCTGCCCTTATGGTTACCAAAAATTCAGTTAACTTTCCTTCTTACACATAAAATACAATCATCCCAAAGAAAGGCACCCAGACAAGACCTAGTAGATTTCAGAGGGCTTACTTAGCAACACAAAGGTGGAGAAGATAGAGATATGAGATCTGGAGTTCAGTAGACTTTAGGGCTAAAGACTTAAATATGGGAGTCACTAAAACAATAGGAATTGATTGGTTTCCCAGAGAAGTTTGTAGCTTGGGAACAGGACCAAGGACAGAGCTCTGAAGAGCAATATTTGATTGTAAACTGAGTATACAAAAATAAATTAAAAAAACAAACAAACAAACCAAGATCTTGCTGTAAAGAAATGGTGAAGGTGGTAGAAGGTGTATTTGTGGTGGAAAGAGCAAGTGTGGTGGAAACACAGGATGGAAGAATTCCTACAAGGAAAGAAAGGTCCAAGGCATTAAGTGCCAAGGGGTCAAACAAGATAAGGACATGTGCTAGTTAAACTTGACTATTAAAGAGTTTATGTGACTTTCAAACAACATCTTGAGTGTATGGGAACAGAAGTCTTTTCACAGTAAGTTGGAATGTAGTGGTGAAGTAATAAAAACAATGAAATGAGGCTACCCTTTTGAGAAGAAAAAAGAGAGAAGGGGAATGCTGAGTAAGTAGAGGGGTTTTGTTTTTAGAGTATAAGAGAGAGGATAAGATGAAGAGAAGAGGCAGGAGAAAAGAGGTCTACAGAGAGAGGGGACTGGATGATGGCTTATGGTCTCCTAGGAGGAAGGAAGAAATGAGGTCAGTAGCCCCGGGGAAGGTTCTCATGCAGTTGGAGAATGTGCATCCGTGATGACAGTAATCCATGTCTGGGAACACTGGAAAAACAAATTTAATCAAGGTGACTAGATCTGGTGTGGAGGAGGAGTATAATGTGATAATGAGACGTGAGTCTGAGAGAACATCTATTGTTTTAAAATTGTGGGAGAAAAAGAATGCATTACTAGAAAGTAAAAAGGGAGAACCGATTAATAAATGTACCAAATTAAGGTAAACCGAGAAATAGAAATACATATTATTAGAACTAGAAAATCTTAAATCTTCCATTGATAAATTTATTATATTTATGCCACTCATTTATACAGATTTTGAAGTTGATTTCCAGTGTGGGCAGGCCAATATAACTTATTCAAGTTACATTTTAAATTTATTTTAGAATTCTATGTGAGTCTCACTAGTGCATTGAAAATATTTGCTTTTTAAAATTGAGATAAAATTGAAATATAACATTATATTAGTTTCAGGTATATAACATAATGGTTTGATATTTGTATATATTGCAAAATGATCATCACAATAAGTCTGATTAACATCCAAGACCACGCATAGTTACAAATTTCTTTTTCTTGTGATGAGAACTTTAAAATCGAATCTTAGTAACTTTTAAATATGTATTACAGTATTAGTAACTATAGTCACCAGGTGTACCTTACATCCCCAGGACTTACTTTATAACTGGAAGTTTGTAACTTTTGACCACCTTCAGCTATTTTGCTCATCCCTACCTCTGCCTCTTTCTGGCAACCACAAAAATGTTCTCCATATCTATGAGTTTGGGTTTTTTGTTTGTTTGTTTGTTTGTTTTTAGATTTCACGTATAGATATTTTTCTTTCTCTGATTTCTTTCACTTGTCATAATGCCCTCAAAGTCTGTTTATTTTGTCACAAATGGCAGGATTTCCTTCTCTTTTATGGCTTAATTGTGTGTGTGTGTGTGTGTGTGTGTGTGTGTGTGTGTGTGTGTGATCACATCTTCTTTATCCATTCATCATCCATTGATTGATTCTTAGGTTGGTTCCATGTGTTGACTATTGTAAATAATGCTGCAATGAACATGGGAGTGCAGATATCTCTTCAATATCCTGATTTCACATCCTTTGGATATATACCCA